TTATACTTATATCGTAAATTAAAATTTATAGGGATCTTTAAGAAATGTTATATTTCATAAGAAGAAACGAAATAACGCGATGGGGTGCGATTTTTAACGCGGAAGCTTCCACCGAATTGTAAAGTACGAGTAATTATAGAAAATATTATTGGGTAATTTTTAATTTTATTCGAAAATTTGATTTGACAAGGTGAATCAAAGTGGAGGAAGAGGAATGACACTGTACGATGAGGCCCTGTTGCGATGAATTAGACCCGAAGCTTTGTATCTACATTTTAAACGACGTATTAAGGCAGGGCCGTTTTCAGGTGACAAGGAAGAGGGAATTGAACGGCGGATAATATTTGAGTTGTCGAAGAGCGTCATACCTCGACGTAGGGTAGACGAGGATGAAGGTTGTAGGTTAAGTAAGTGGTTAGGAAGACGGCGTTGCCCAAGTAATGGAATAAAAACACTCGACCTCGATGTCACCATCATTGATCTGGGAGGCATTATCTTTCACCTTCTCGTCCGGTGAGCAGATACGTCAAAAATTTCATCGAAAAACCCTCGTCTCGTCGTGTTTTATGAAAATAATAAATGTCCGTCACGTGAAACCTTATCAACCATCTCGTCGTTATTACGTCCTTTTAATCACCTGTCTTTGCATTATTATTTTTAAATTTTATCGAACAATTCGTGACAGCAACCATCGAAAGCGTAGCAAATAAGTAACGAATATATCGTAGCTCATCCTGATCCAACCAATTCAACGAGTAAATAAAAATCATTGACATCCAAATCTATTCCAATCGTCGCACGAGTCAAAAGCCATTATAAAATAGTATAATTAACGAAAATTCGGACGAAGATGGGAATCGGGTGAAATTTCCCGAATTTTGTGTGAAAATGCACAGATTTCTTGGCGAACGAGGACCAACCGAAACTCGGGGCTAAATTTAGCCGCAAGAAATAAACAAACGTAGGGTGAAATTACGAGAATCGAATCGTAAGCCGACGTAAAAGTAGAATGTTCGGTTTCATTAACGTGCACAATGCCAAACGCATACGTAGGTGCCGCGAGATAGTACGTGTTTTGCAGCCCTTTTATAGATCCGTGACTGCTTTCGATACCGTATACGCCGGACTGTAATTAGTCTGTAGGACTGGATCCAGCTTTCAATGGACCTTCAATGAGCGCTACTAATGACGGCCGGATGACGCATCCGGAATGTCTGTTTAAATGATAGTATGCTAATCCAATGGCAAGCATTTCGCTTTTGCGCATATCGCCAGATACATCTGATCTCGCGTTTCAGTTATCATCGTACTTTCTCGTTGTCCCGCCTAACAATATGCGTCGTATGCGTAATCGATCCGAAATACACGGGAATGTCGCAAAGTAAACAGCGTCATTACGTCCAATCAAAGTTCGATCGCCATTTATCCTCCTTTCTTTTCATCGGCAAAACTCGTAGCTCGAATAATCGAAAAATTGAACGTCGGTTCGATTTACGAATTATACGAATATTTCGAATCGGAAGAATTTCTCGAGGACGAGAATTCACGGGGACGAGTACGCGTCTGCGACCATGAGTCAGGATTCGACGGTTTGCGTGGGAAATTTTGGGAGAAAATTTTCTAATTGAAAAATCCGAAGCCAGAATATATTGGGAATTCGAGTACCCTCGAGGATAACTGCATTACACTCGCTACGCAGCGGAATTCGATCATTCTTCTTCGATTTTCGATAACCTGACGATGTTTGATCTAATACTGGGATGGATTTACGTATGGGAGATATAGGAAGCAGATCGGAGGCGAATACGAATTCCCATGCGATCCTTGGCCGGAAGGAGGGCTGCGAAATACAGGAAAACGTAAACAGTGACTTAAATCACCGTACACGCCTCGGGGAAAGATCGAAACACGGTGTACGTCGAAGGATACCTCGGCGAACGTGGCGGAATGATGAGGTGTCGCGCTAGAATAGACAAGGAGGACTTTCCGGTCCGCTATTCCATCCGATTCCGTAATCCATTCCGGATACCAACGGCATCCTCCTCCTTGCTTCCCTTTTTTCGCCGTCCTCGTCCTCCTTCGATCGCCCGGGGAGGACGCTCGAGGACAGGATACAGGACATCAGTCTTTTCTGTCTTCGCTTCGTTCGGGGCTGCAGATTCCACGACGAAATTCCACGCTCGATTCGTCCTCTCCCGTTCAATACAAGCGCCGTTCTCGGGTTCCCGGAGTACCGTGTCCCGTTTTCTTTTCCCCGGCTTGCTTTCTTCCCTCGTGCAATCCTCGACATTCAAATATTCCTTTCCTGCGAGGGAAATCGGGAAGAAAAAAGAAGGAAGGCGGCGAAGAGGTCAGAAGGATTGGGAGGGAGGTGGTAGGGTAGGTAGCGAGGAGGGAAAAAGAAACAGAACAGGTGTAGGTGATCGGTAAAACGAAAATATGAAGCGAAGAAAGCGAACGACAGAGGTGGATCGTGCGATGGGAACGAAGAGTAAAATTAGAATAGAACCGGGACGGGATAGAGGAGGATAGAAGGGACGTTGGAGGGGGATGGAGGAAGAAAAGCGGTGGAAAATCGAAAAGGTGGTTAAACCGGGAAACGGTGAAACGAGTGAGAGGGCCGGGACAGCTACTTGCGAGGGGGTGGGTGTACACCGGGGCTCGCATTCCAAGCAGACTCGGTGAACCGGGTTCATTATTTTCTCGTTATAAGTTTCTACAACTCGAGCTTGTTGTCGTAACGCTGTTAACGCGGACGCGTCGCGAATTGTTAAAGCGGCGGCGAACGATCGGCGCGCGTATATATTCGGCGGCTTCCTTAAACCCCGCGTCACGCGCCGCCCTACCCACTTCGTTCCTTTTCATCCCGGCCTCTACTCCGCCGCCGCGCCGTTCTCATCCCCTAACACCGCCCCTTAGTCTGCCGGCAACCCCCTTTATCCTCCTCTTTTTTCGTTTATTAATAAACGAGCCGGTGTCACTTGCCTTTCTCCCTCCCCTCCTCCCCTCTCTCCTCCGTTCCTCTCTTTCCTCTCTTTCCTCTCTTTCCTCTCCTTCGAGGAAAGGACCAGCTCGATGGGTTACGGGTGCGGAGTGTGAGTATGAGTGAGAGAGAGAAAGAGAGAGGAAGAGAGGGATGAACGGGCGGGTGGAAAAGCTAGCAACGACACGACGAAAGGCCAATACTCGTCTCATTGTTCCTTTGCGATACCCAGCGGAATTATTGAACAACCCGGTGACTTGATGTACTACCTCCAACTTCCTCTCGAACACGGCAAAACGTTGCCGTTGAAAGTGGAACACAGCCACGAGTATCGTGGGCGTCGTTCGTAAAGGATCGCGCCTGACGATGTCGCTTTAATGGTGACTTTAATTGTACCCTTTGATTCACTCCTGCTCCTTACCCTGTCGATCCCCACGCGATCACTATGCTGTTTCTATCGCCTGCTATTCGATACCGTGAGAACGCGCGAAAAAGTGACGGAATTTGCGGAGAAAAGGCCCGTTATTCGCTAGGATAATGTTATTATTCGTTTAACGAAGAGAAGGTAGTTTGCTCGAGATTGTGTAAACTCGGAAATACGATTTATCGGCGTATTATTCGAACCGGCGTTTGAATTCGAGAAAAGAATTTAAATATCGTAACAAATTACGCGTTTCCGCTCGAACACCGCTAAAGAATCGACGATATTCGCTCTAACGCCGTTAGAGTAGCATGATTCGCGTGTATAAAAAGTTACGAACGATTTCGCGCAACGTGGCGTACTTTCGGAACCCGATTATCGTACTGTACGAAGGTTACGCGTGGGAAACAAAGAGGTTAGGTTTGGGTTACGTGTTAAAAACGAAAAAATAATTCAGCGGTATAACGTTTCGAATGGAGAATGGAACAGAAATGACACCTATATCCGTATTGTACGGATATCATTAAAAAGTTTAAAATTAAACCGTAATTCGAGCCATACGGAAGATTAATTAAACCTTGCAAACATTGGGAATAATAATTTTCGCATTACCTGCCTGCAGGCTGATATGAAATTTAATTTAATGCCACTCGATAATTCCCCCCGCTTCCACTACTTAAAAACTTTCGAAATTGAACAAACTGTCGAAAACTACAGAATGCGATAAATTGATGAGAACCATTCGACGATGGCGAAAGAGTTATAAACAAATCGACCGAGAATTGAAAACGTTAAAATGGCGTTGGAAACGAAGCCTGGCGATCCGGTTCGATTCAGGCGGCGCAAATGAGTGGAGCGATATTAAAATCTACGTGGGCAACAGATGGGCTCCGATAGCTTTACGATGCTCGAGCCAATAACGAAAATCATTAAATTAGCTTTAACCGCCGGTGCACGGCGTACTGTTAACAGCGTACTAATTTTATTATTTAGTAGTTCGCATAAAAATCCCGGAATTCCCTTCGTTACTTCTCCCGGCGACGCAATTCACTGGCTTTTAGAGTAACAAGTTCGTCCATTTGGATACGGTTTATTATGTCGTTGCGTTTACATGCGTGCTAATGACGCAATATACGATGCAAAAGTTTAAACAACTTCTTCCACTTTCGCATAGGCATACGTTCGGAAAAAATCTCGCATTAGAAAGAATAGAAGATATCTTACCTCGTTTAGGATAAAACTCATAGCGACGAAGGATATTTTCTCTTGAGAAATAAGATTAACTCGAGAACTATTTCACAACACATGTTCGAAGTTTCAACACGACGGCCATACTGAATTTAGCTCCACTGGAAATGAAGGGAAGGCGCCAACTTTGATTTACCGGTTATCGGTAATGTAATAACCTAGAAAATGTATATGTCCCTACGTTTTCAAGCGGACACGATCTTATACCTCTTCTAGGTTAGTACTGCAGATGTAATATTCAAATGCCGCTCACTTGAAAAGATGGCACTACTGGATCCTTTATTATCGGAAACAACTTGCTAGTTTTCCATTCCCTGTCAGTCTTATTTTTATCATCGTAGTGTAAACTATTTGATTTGTGAATTGCTGAACAGAAGATTTTTTCATTCTTAAAATTTCTTCGAACGCGAATTGACAAAATAATTTTCATTTCTTTCTATGTAAATTTAATAAGTAAATTACAATTGCACGCTGTAACAAAATATGTACGTAATTCCTAATTACCAATCCCGATCGTGTAATATGTAGTTCCTTGTGTATGTTCAATTTGTTAGTATAGTATAACATTGTTAGTATAATACTGTTATTCGTATGTTGTTTGTAATTGTTGTTATTCGCAGTATGTTCAAATGCGTATTATCAAAAAAAAAATATCAGTGTTATCTTGATCTATCTTTTAAGACACTTCAGTGTATTATTTATTCAACTACGTTGGTCCTTGAATGCCAAAAATATAAGTGAAATATAATCATGTTAACCACGTATATGAACAATGTGTTTATTACAATGTTATTTATAGATTAAAAATATCGAATTTTTTTTTCATGACGAATATAAAAAGTTAAACTTACAAGATACAAATACTTTTAATTATGATATGTAATATATATGTGATTGTCACTAATTTGATTTTTGCGCTATAATTTCTTGCTGATAGCACAAACTATATTTAAATCGCAAACAAAATTGCTTTAATATTTAATACAAATTTAAACATTTTCTCTATTTTTATGAGACTTTGTTCTCAATTTTCTTACAAAAAATGTATAATAAAAGAAAAATAAAATTGAATTTAATCAAATTGTTAATATAAAATCGAAATGTGAAATATTTTTAATGAAATAACTTATTCTCAATTCCGATCATATGCGTACGGATATAGATGTATTATTTATTACTTGTAGTTAAATGCAATTAGAACCACAATGATATACAAGTTACTATTTCCACGTGTTAATTAATTTTTTAATATATCATAAGTGAAATATTTTTCGTGATGTACAGCACTGTTTGTATAATTAATTAATTTCATTGCTGGTATATAGAAAAATGTTACCAGCTACATATGTCGAGGGTTTTCATGACTTGGAAGCCGTGAAAAAAATGGAATATAGACCTCTCGGTAAAACCGGATTAATGGTCAGTAAATTATCGTTTGGTGGCGGACCGCTTGGCGTCCATTATGGGTTAGAAATTACTTTTTATTTAAAATACTGTACGATAAAGGCAATATGAATTTGAATATTTATAATGAAATTTAATAAAAAGAATACATTTTTTAAATTCTTTATAACACTTATAATTATGATAACTTCGTATTTTTATTTTTTGGTACGACAACAGAACATACGATGAAGATAAAGCAATTGAAGCGATACGACACGGAATAAAACAGGGAATTAATTACATTGATACCGCGCCATGGTACGGTCAAGGACACTCTGAACTTGTCATTGGAAAAGTAACTCTACATATTTTTATGCATATACATACGTATACATAGTAATTTCTGCATTAGAAATGTATTTTTGTTTAATTAATTTTATATTTAAATTTTAATTTTAGGCCCTGCAAGGTATTCCACGCAAAGCGTACTATATAGCTACAAAAGTCGGACGATATGAATTAAATTATGAAAATATGTTCAATTTCTCGAAAGAGAAGACTAGAAGTAGCTTTACCAAGAGTTTAAAACTTTTAGGTTTGAATTACGTGGACGTTATACAAGTAAGTATATCAAGCTTTTTTTATCATTTGTTTTATTTATTAATTAATAAATTTTTATTTAGGTTCATGATATCGAATTTGCTCCGAATCTAGACATAGTAATTACACAAACCTTACCGGAATTATCAAAACAAGTTGCGGACGGCAAAGCAAAGTACATTGGTATTACCGGATACCCGGTGTCCATCTTAAAGGAATGTATCGAGAAAAGTAACATTAATATTTCATGCATATTGAGTTATACAAGATATACGTTAATCGATAATACTTTGCTTGAATATATTCCATTCTTCAAGGTAGAATTTCGTCGTAAATTATTATGTGTTCACAATCATAAAAGTAATATTTCTTGAGAGTTTAAAACAAACATACTAATTGTTTAGAAACATAATATTGGTATAATTAATGCCTCTGCACCATGTATGGGTCTTTTAACTAATAAGGGTCCACCGGATTGGCATCCCAGTTCAGAACAAACAAAGAAAATATGTGCAGATGCTGCTGCATGTTGTAAGGTATATATGCTTTAAACTTTCATGCAATGTACGTTTATCTTTCAGAAATATTTCAGTTGCAATATAACTTATACTTGCAGGATCATGATATCGAATTAGCTAAATTAGCATTATGGTATTCTATGCAGTGCAAAGATATTGCTACATATTTAGTTGGAATTCAAAATATAAAAGAACTGAATATGAATCTTGATGTAATTAAAAATGGCATTACAGAGAAAGAGAAAATTTTACTCGGAGAAATTCAAGAAAAGTATGTAAAAGAAAAAAATTCTTTACCATTATTTTATATTTTTTAATATAATGTAGGACACCTCTCTAAAAGTACAAAAGGTCCATTATATGTTCTATCTATACTTTTTAGGAATGAATATTCTATGTACAAAACTAATACTTTTGTTGCACTAATAGTAATATATAGTACTAGTAAAATGTTTTTTAAATATATTTTGCATGGTAAAATTGCATGCAAATTGATTAATATTGTTTCTTAAGTGGTGATTTATTCTACAGATAGAGTAAGGTACATAAACTTAGATGTTTACTATCTCAAATATAAAAATTTTAATTATTAATACTTCACAAAATAATTGAAAGAAATATTTCTCTTACCCTATCATCATATGATCACCATATGAATTAACAAAAAATTTAGTGTAGGCTATAATATTTTACGAATTCTAAACCTAACTATTTAAAAAAATAAACATTGTGTTCTATATGCCAATAGTTCCAGTTATCAAAGACTTTTAAAATCTTTGATCTGACATAGGATTGCATACTATCTGCATATTTTTATGGTATATAAGTCTCCAGACTTTCATATCATACTTCAAGTTAATATGAATTTGGTGAGTTACCAATAACTAAAATAGAGAGCTCTTATTTAACAAATTATTTGATCTCATAACAATAATGGAATGGTTAAATAGTAATACATAAAATAATTTCACTGTACTTGTACACAAAAGCCAGAAATTCAAAAATAGAAACTAGAACTTTTCATGAAATGTAAGAATACGTATAACATAATGCTTTTTTTATTTCAGGTATTTATGTAAAATAACAGAGAAACATTGGGAAGACAAAGAACTTCAAATATATTGGGAATATATGAAAAAGTGAAAAATATATATTTTTTTATGCACAACATCATTACACACGTTAATATACATAACATTAATGTCATGCCAAATAACATGTTAAATGCTGACTTGTATAACAAATTTTTTAATGAAAATATATTTTCATTATATGTAACTTTATGTAAATGTAAATATTTTGGTAGAATAAACTATAAATACAACCTTTAGATCATTTTTTTAGGAAGATAAAGATCTAAATTCAGACTTATATGTATTTCTAAAAGTTTGTTTCAATATAGAAGAAAACTTTTATTTATTAAGCATAGATCTAGTATAAACTGTAGGCATAAAATCATCTTCACCAGGTTTAATTTGGTATGTTAATTCATACATCAATATAGTTATAAGTGAACCCAAAATTGGTTTATGGTACATGTGTTGTAGCTCAAAACCTTTTTTAAAACACAGTTCTCTTCCACCTTCTGTATATTCTGAGGCAACAATATTGGCACAACCATATCCTTCAGCAATAGCAAATTCAACAGCAACATTTATAAGGCACGAAGCTATTCCTTTTCTTCTATATTGCTCGTGTACATATAATCTTTTGATCCATGCACCTTTATCTAATCTATAGCTTTTACATAAGGCAACAGTTCCTACAATCTTCTTAACCTGAGATGAAATATCAATATTGGAATCACGGAACTGCTGTTCTGTCATTATGGTATAATGTATATTCTTTGGATCATGTGTCATTAGATAAGGTTCAAATGCTTCAGCAACCCAAAAGCATGAAAAAGCATTGGACATATAAATCCTGTTACAATAAATGAAGAAGTTTTTATATCACTCTCATTTTAAGTATTTTTCAAGTGTTTGCTTTTATTTTTTATGTTGACATTTTAATATTATGACGGAAAACAAATAAATATAAAGAAACTTTACCTTGGTATATTTGAAACTTCTTCATTAACTTCCATAGCTTTCGCAGTGAAACCTATGTAAGTTCCAACATACACAAGAAAAATGACAAGAGGAATAACTAAAATGCAAACTGTTAAAGGTAATCCAAAAAAGATAAACATTACAGCAGCAAACAATATCATTAATTGAAAAGTTAATTCTTTAAGCACAATTCCAAAAAACGTTGAACTTAAAGAAGACATCACACCTGTCTTCACTAATTCTTTACAATTAATTTCATCGCCTGGCTTATAGCTTCGTATTACTATGATGTGACTCATTTTGTAAATTATTCATTTACCTCACTTTATAACTTTTATGCATAATCAATAAACGAAATGCAAAATAAATACAAAATTAATATATTGCGAGGTTACGATGTTTTCGATATTTTCGCCATCATATACAATACAATACAAATACAGAATAAGTACGTATATTCATACATTGATTAATATTATGATTTTTTTTTTATTTGATATATAAAAAAAATGATATAATTGTTTTCTAAATATGAAGTTATCCTATAATAAAATTATCTATTAATAATTTCACAAATAATCTTATTTACTCCTAAATATAGTTATTGATTAAAGAAATAAGCAAAATGTATTATTTGTTGATTCCTAATTGTTAATATTATTTATTTTTAATAAAGGGAAAGTATATATTATATAATTACATATTGATTTCTGTATTTGTTTATAATAAATTTTTATCCTTTTTATTTTCCTGCAGAGACATTCTAATGAATGATAAGATAAATGTAGGTATTCTACGATTTCTAAAAACATTCAACATTATGATACACTATTGATTCCTTAAAAATAAATATAAAATTTTTTTTAAGGAGATCAGAAAACGAGTCGTATATGAATATGCGCCTTAAAGTTAGCTGGAAGTAGCTGGAAGCGGAAGAGTCAGCGTTCGGCCATTGCAACTCTGCTCCATAGACGCGTTGTATGTGAATGATCCCGTTTACTTCGTTTAATTGTTTAATTAACGGCATTATTATTTTTACGTTTAATATTATTCAAAGTATTGGATATATCCGTGGTAATCATGAGCGAGCGACCAAGTAATGGTGAATACAAATATCAAAGGGAAGATAATGCCGATTCGAAGGTAAGAACATCGTCAGAGAAGGATCGTGATGAAAAGGAACATCAAGTTGATAAGGCCGGGGAATACGTCCGGGAGCTATTGCAAGAAAAAGTTGAATTGGATTCACAAAAATGGCCTATTGCAACTAGACTGATCGATCAAGGTAAATATTACTGCAGTACTATTGTCGGCATTCATTGTTTTTTACCTATCCTTATTGATTTTAATGTATTGTTCCTTCTGTTGTTTATGTATTTATTTTCACAGACTACCAATATAGTCGTTTACTTTAAAATTTTCTTTTTTCTTTTTACTTTTTTCAAGTCGAACTGAATAAATTTAAAGATTGATGTTTAAGGTTAGACTATCCAATAAATGAAAAATAGTTGGTAACTTATTGTTTAGTTTCTTTTAGTTTTTTAAATAGTTTATAACATGTTATTATCAGTAATATCTTACTGGCTCTGTAAGATAATCAAGTTAAAAAGGTACGTGTCACTAATTGTTTCATATAATAAAATTGACAATACTATGTAGAGAGGCACAATAAACCTCATTATACATCAGCTAGTTCCAATATTAATCAAGCTTTTATATTTTATAATTATAATTCTTATATTTTTATTTTTTTTGAAAAACAATTTTTTATAACCATTATGTGTTTTTGTACATATTTTTATACCGTTTAAATATATGGAGAGAAATTTTTTTTTGTATCTATATAAATATGCAATTTTAAGTATGTATTGAAAAATTTATTATTCGATTATGTATTAATTATTTGTTATGTATTATGTATTAACATATGTAATTAAATTACAAGGTATGTACTTGTAATTTTTGTTACAATATAGAAATTCAAAAAACTCAAGCTATTGGTAAACCTGTAAGAGATCCAAAATATGTTGATATTTATCGTGAAAAACCAATTCGTGTTTCGGTTAAAGTATTGGTACCTGTTCGAGAGCACCCAAAGGTAATTATATTGTATTATATATCAATGGTCTTAATTTAGATGAATAGAGAATAAAAATCTACATTAAAATTATTTAAAGTTCAACTTTGTTGGAAAATTATTGGGACCGAAAGGTAATTCTATGAAACGTTTACAAGAAGAAACTATGTGTAAAATGGCAGTATTAGGCAGAGGATCCATGAAAGATCGTCAAAAGGTAATATTGTATAAAAAATTGTTGAATTTTTAAATTTTTATTGCATTAAATTTTTTTATATTCATATGGTATATTTCTTTACTTGTTTGTAATTTTTAATCTTCTTATATTCATCATAGGATCCATAATTTATATTAAGAAAAATGTGGTGGACACTTTTATACTTCAGATTTTTGTTAATGTAAATCATTAGCATAGAATTCTTCATACACTTATTTGTAGGAAGAGGAGTGTCGCATGTCTTTGGATCCAAAGTATGCGCATCTTTCGGACGATCTTCATGTTGAAATAACAGCGCTTGCACCTCCGGCAGAGGCTTATGCTCGTATTGCGTTTGCATTGGCTGAAGTTCGGAAATACCTCATTCCGGATAATAACGATAACATACGCCAAGAACAAATGCGTGAAATGGAAATGAGTATGACCGATGATCCAACAAGTGGAGACGACAGGAGGCCCTCAGTTAGAGGTGTACCGGGTGGTGGTGGAATACTAAGACCTACTGCCAGACCGACAATGCCGCGATCTTCACGAGGTTGGCCATATATTTTAATTATCGACAATTTAATTATGAAGTATTTGAAGTATTAAAATAGGCTGTTAAAGGCTGTCTCAAAATTCATGCAAGATTTGAATTTTTCGCCATTTGTGCGGTAAAGTGTTGCCAACAAAGAAAAAGACAGCGTGACAGCTAACAGTTCAGGGTTATTAGAAATGGAGCGCTACACGAAGGAACAACACGTCTTCATTGTTGAGCAATATTTACAATTTTTAATTAGAAACTAGATGTAATTAAAAATTAGATGTGCTTCCTATCCAAATTTCTTCTTACGTGAACTTTTGGACATCCTAATATTATAATATGCTTTTACTAATGTATTATAAAATTTTATTGTTGTTTTTAGTATTACTTTATAGTAAAATGATTTGTTTCAAATTTCTAGATATTTAGTTAGTTCTTAGACTTTTCCATTTCAGCGGCGATACTTCCACCGCCTTCTAGCCGAGGACCAATATCACGTCCTGTGTCAGCAAAGAGTAAAGTCTTTTCCATTTTAGATCGTGCAAGAGTTGCGATGGATCAAAGTTATGGGTAAGTTTATGATGAAATATGCATAAATAGATATTGTTTTATATTGATAAAATTATTCGTATAGTTACGAGACTGCTACTCCACCTCCAAGTAATCGTGTCGGATCACATCATGATTATGATTATCACACATCGACGAGCAGTAGCAGCCGATACGGAGATCGGCATTATACGTCAGCATCAGGGTAAGTATAATTAACATTTTTATCAGAGAGAATCAGTTGTTTATATATTGATTAACAATGATTTTAGACTTTTCAATTTATTTGAATGTTCTACATTTACATCCTCAGTTGCATCTTTTATTATTTTTCTTCTGATATATGAATCGATAATACAAAATATCGAGTATCCGTAGTGGTAGCAAGTGACAAATATTTCTAGTATAGAATAATATAGAACTAATATAGAACAATATATTCTAAACTATGTATACTTATAACATACAAAATTTTATTTTAAAAAATTATAGTTATGTCGTGTTACTTTCTGTAGCAGTTTCAATAATATGTACCACATAAAATCATAATTCATCATCTATTTAACTATTCCTTTACTTAAGTATACATAGTGTTAACATTTATAATATTTAACACAGAGACGTATTTTTTATTTAATATAATTTTAGTCTCTCACATATCATAATTAGATCCACTGCAAAATTAGTACCATTAGGAGCAACAAATCTTCCTCTTATAATATCTTTCTACCTCTTATTGACGTGACTGTGACTTTCTTTCCCACTATTTCTATGTAATATTGTGAAAACCAACTGATACTATTTGTAAGAATTTTATGTTTATTCGGTGCACTCTTTACATGGTGTACTGTTTATCTTATCTTGATAATTAATTGACATTTGAAACAAAATGTTTATTCAAGAGTGCAATTTTGTATCTTCAATACTACATAAATATACAATAAGTTTAATAGTATCAAAGATGAAAATGAGGAAGACATTATGAATCGTGGTACAGTAGTCTTCACGCTAATACTTTACAGTATTGTGATTTTTGAAATTTTTTTTTCTACACATTAAAGTTCTACTTATTTCCTCTTCTATAATAATCATCATTTGTTATTATTTTATATTTATTATAATTTCTTTTTTTTTTTTCATTGTATTTTTCAAGTTCCATATTTTTCTTTGGAATGTGTAAAAAGCACTTAAGTTTGGAATAATGTAGCTCCTTAATGTGTATTGTACTTTTGTACATCATTTAGAGATGATATGTATCCTTCCTCGAGGTACACAACTTACGAGTACGATGACGATGCTGTCCCACACTCTTCGCACGATTACTATGAAACATCAGAATATCCAGGTAACATATTTCTCGTATTTCACATCGTTACTGTCCCTTTCTTTTTTCTTTTTCCTTTTTTTTTCTAGCATAAAAATTTAATACATATTTAAACAAATTATTATAAACATGCGCATGTGTGATATATAGATAATTAACATAATTGCAGTGAGATTAAAATAATTTAATCCTTAAATTATACGTAGACAAATTTTCACTGAAATACTATTCATAAAAATAAATATTTTGCATTGAACTGTATAAAAAATTGTTAATATTAAAAAATGTGAAAGTACGAGGTACTTAATAAAATTAGCTTAACAGGTGTTAATAGTCAAAGCTCTAAATAGAAATTTAAATACTGCCAGGACACATAAAACGTTAATAACGTGGTCTGTAGTTATAACGATTAACTCTTGTAACTTCTCGTACGATCTGTAACAATTTCGTACTCACGATAAAAAATACAAATTTCCTTCTTTCTCGTACAAAATAATATCTGAATAAAAATATCGGCAATACTAATTGAAAATAACTTTGATCGTCTATTTAAAAACAAGTTATATCTTTTCCAAATGGTATTTAAAGATTTCCTTATAATATGCAATACTAAATAGACACGGAATGGCTTCACATAACAACGTGTGATAGTAGCTGAACTTTTCAATCAGCTCGTACGCAACAATTTTCTTTAAACATGTTTTAAATAACATAACGCTCTCGCTTCGCGTAGTGTATAGATAAGGAAACATCCGATTAATATCTTATATACATTTATATCGTCGTGGTGCACTAATCCAATAAAAATAATGCAAATGAATCACTCCATGAAATTCGCAGAGGAATCATCGAGCCGCGCATGGAAATCGTACAAGACGACAACGACATCGGGCTCAAGCTCGCGCTACCGCAACGCCCCGTATTCACGACCTTCCAAGTAAAAAATCCACGCAAAATATCCTAATATTTTCTTAATTTTGCTCGTATCCAAACAATTCCTGAATTCTTAAGCGAAGCAACGATCTTTCTTTTCTGACTTTATTGTTTCTCATAGCCCTAAACCGTTGACGTGTAATCTTCCTAACACACGACGACCTACAGCGTCGACGATGTCAAAACCTGTAAACAACCGAGGTCGGTTTTAAATGAAAACGGAGGCACGGAGAGACTAACACGGTAAACGATATATAAACGGTATTACAATTTTTCATGGTATTGCGACGATAGAGACGGATGCAACGTAACTGCCATTATCAATTCGACTTATCGAGGGTTTGCTCAATGAAAATTACCGTATGAACGATACCAGTGAAATTTATGCCAGTCTTCGATTACGATGCTTCGTAGTTCTCCTTTTCGAACAAAATTCTCGTTTCTTTCACGAAAGAAACAATCACGCCCTCGGATTTTTGCCTCTTTTTAGTTCTACGCAATACGATTTCTCCAATCGCTATGTAACGAAGCTAACGTGCTTTTCAGATGAAGTTTTCGTGACTACTGGAATAAGCACCGCAGCTCGTAATACGATGAATACTGTAATGAAAATATTTTGACGACTTCTATCGTGAGTTGCACGTAGATTTGACCCCGTAGAAAGTCTGAATTCATTTGTGTCGGTTTTGTACTGGTTTTCTATCGAAGTATTACGAAAGAGAGGACAACGCGTTCCTTCAAATCCTTTCCCCTCCTAAAAAGAGAAAAAAAAAAAAATATTACGTCAGAGTGGAAGGCTAGAGGACCAAGAGGATCTGTGGAACGAGACAAGTAAAATTATTAAATGAAAAAGAGAGAGAGAAACGTCGGAGCTGTGTCACATTTTTCTATAGGTTCAATTTCATATCTTTTTACATTATTGTACGCGTAGTTAAGTTTTATTTTCTCCTTCCCTTCCCCTATTTTTTCTTTTTTTTTTTTTTTTTTTTTTTTTTTTTTTTATATATATATATAATTGGCAGTATACAACTGGTAGTACATGATCGGGGTAACTACCTAAAATGAAAGATGTGTAAATATCCTTCAACATTTTTAGCTTTTATATACGTGTCTTTTTTTCTTCTTTTATATATAGATATAAACCTAACTCCTTAATTCTAATGTACTAAGCTTTTTAAACGCTGAAAAATACATAGCTCAGACAGTCGTGTGTGTTATAATAAATTAGCAATATGTGTCTAAAATAGAATAAAGTAAAATATTGTAAATGATGTTCAGTGACAGGTGATCATATATAAATTAATATTAAATAAGTTGCATATGGTTATACCAATTATGTCATAATTCACTTAATATCAATGTTTATAGTATTTACGCGAACCAAACAAAAAAAAAAAAAAAAAAAGAAAGAGAAAAGAAAGAGAGAGGGGGGAAAACAGAAAAAAATAATAAATAAAATGACGTGTTGAAAGTTTAAAATGGAATAAATAAATGTTAACAAATATATGCATACTGACATATGCAAAATATATGAAATGAAAAATCGTGTAGTTCGTAATGATTCAGTAGCTACGAAATTATAATAAAAAGAAACGAAAGGAAAAGAGAAAAAAAGTGGAAGAAATTTGTAACCTACGATTTTGCAATATTAGTATACAAAAAAAAAGGCAGATGATAAAATAATTTGTGCGTAACTTATAAACATTTTTCCGTTTTTAACGTAATTATGTTTACTGCTATACATATATACACATATATATGTACGTAATCTCTTAAACTGAAATAAATAAACAGTATAACTGCGCTATATAATAAGCTGCATTTGAAAAGTTTTAAATCAAAATCCTAATTAATCAATAGCATTATAACTTGAAAATAACGAAATGTTTCTAGATCTAACAAGTAACATTAATATCCTTAGGGGTTCGCAAAAAATCTGTTCATCAATATACTAGTAATCTTCACCTAATATGTTTGTTTTAAATCAACCATGAAATGTTAATTAATGTTAAGAAATCTTGTGAAAAGAATATAATAAACTTCATTTAATTTTACTTAAATGTTTGCGTGTGTCTTAACTACGTTAATATAAGCAAGAATAAAACTAATTTAAAAAATACCTGTTATTATTTGCTAAACGACAAACTTATACGTGTTTAATTTGTATTAAATTCGATTTTACACATTATTTAAACTTTTATTAGCAATAAACTTGTGAGAAATACAAAATAACAGTGTCAATCTATTGTTATACATATTTTTAGTTTAAGCTGATTGAAGTTCCGTTTTGAAATATTTAAAACATTTACTTCTAACATGTTTTTTCGTATATCCTTCTTAGGTGTATAGAAGAATACGGAAGGTTGCGTGGGAACACGTTTTCACGGATTGAAATATTTTAATCTCCTATTTCTCTGTTCAGCGGAGTTCGAAGTGCCTTGAAATCACGTGAGTATAATTTCATTACTGTGATACAATTTTATAATCAGTTTTAAACATAGTTTAGCAAAAGCGGTATAATCCAGCTTTATTTCGTCCCCAAAAATGTGTAATTTATTTGATTTGCTTGCAAGGTATTCGTCTCCGGATACTTATGCGAGCTTTTATTTTCGTTTCTGGAAATACCATTGATATTCACCGAAAAAGAAGAACAGATGCAAATATTTTATAACTTAGCGTTGAAAGCGTCAAATTTTTATTTGCATGTACATTCGATTTGATTTGCTTCCTTTGTTAGTCTTATGCAAAAATCTATGAGATAGTAAGACTTTCTTTCAGGAAATGGGGTGTACAGACTATGCACTACATTATGATTACATCAATCGAAGAAATAATGACTTTAACGATTAAGCAGTGACCGGTATGGAGACAGTTAAAATATGTATTTTAAATATCTTTGAAATTCAATATCAAAGTTCGTACCCCTTTCATCAACGTGGTATACAATATTTTTAAAAATATTCATTCGGTGTATTTTTGTGGTGTCGTAAATCGTTAGAAAGTAGAATTAAAGATAATTAATAATATATAAAATAGTTTACCAAATGTTCGTAGCAATATCGTTAGATCTCTTCATTCAATTAGATCTTATTGTTATTAATAAATGTGATCTCGTGGTTCATTTTAAAACTAATATAAATCTCATACGGTAATATTTAATTAACTTAATATAAGTTATTTAAACCGGTCAAGCTTGTGAACAAGGTGGAGATCGTTATCTTTATTTCTATAATATTTTAGAAATATAAATCTAACTTTACGACCTTATAGTCACCATAAATGTAATTATACGGACATGCGCATCCGACGTCTATAATGAAAAAGATTCAATTGAGAATAAACAGATCGAAAGTAAGGACCCCAGTGAATATTTAATTTTTATTTTTTAAGAGTCAACGAGGTGATAATTGAACTTATTCTCCAATTTATATTTGAATATACCGCGCAACACAGTTCAAATTACAATTTTCTCCAGCAGATGGCGCAGTTGTAGATTGTATCCAAGATGGCGAGTGCGAACGCGGTGCGTACGAAGTAAATTCAAGTATTTCTTACTGTGCTAACATTTTTAATCAGCATTTAAGAATAGTTTGGTAGTATCTAGAAGCTAAATCGAGATAAAGTGTTAGTTTTTGTCGCTCATCAAGCTAATTGACCGAGTGAAAATAATGCAATTTATTCGGCATGGTTTGGCGCGCTCTGTCCTTCAACAGCAATAGGTACGTACTATTTGAAATTGATATCGATACTTGAATATTACAAAATACTTATATTGTATACTTGAAATTCAATACTTTTATGTTAATATTAAATTTCTTTGAAATAAATTACTATAAAACGAATATCTCTCGACCATTTTCACGTTTTACATTTTTATTACGCCTTAATACTTTGAGCTCAGCGAATATGTTAACCCCTTCGCCTACGATATCGCGAGCCTCGTTAGGAAGTCGAACCAAACATAACACGAGGCGAGAGCTGTAGCCTGTAGGTAGAGAGCCGAATGTAAACATCACGGAACAGGTTCGCACCGGCTCGTATTTAATTTTCGCCGATGTCTTTCTGTCTCAGTTACGCGTTATCCTTCGCAGTGTTTGGACGTGGTGACTCGACGTGCGACCGACTGTGCCGACTGTGCCGACTGCGTGACTACGACACGTGCCATCGCAACTCAAACGGTAAGGCAAGGGGTTAACAATATGGCATTGGAATTAGCTTTCGTCGTTCGAATAATTGAATTATTTCGCGATTACGTAGAAATTTGTTAATACCGACGCCGGGCTCAGAGTGTTACTTTATCAGAACCCATTTTAAATGATTAAATAGGATTATACTGAACATAAGTGTGTAAATTGCTTAGAAACAATATTCTTATTTATTTATCACACACCAATATACAAAAATGAACTGTATAATCAATATCAGAATATAATATACTACGAAATTCAAATATATTTAATAAAGATATATCTGAGTATCTTACAAGATTAGAATGATGCTTCAACTTGGAACAAAAATGGTCTACAACATTCTTTGCAGTTGGCACAGAAATTCTGGTAGAAAAACGTCTTTCTACGGCCGCTCTAAGGATTATAAATAAGTATTAATTTACGGGACCTTACGTCTAACGAGTCGCCTAAGTAGTCGTGAATGAAAATAAGGGGGTTCAAGGATTTTCTTCTGTTTTCTTTTCACTTTCTTTTTTCCCTAACTCTTTCTCCCTTTTCTCTGTGTCTTCTTTCGTTTCCTTTGTCTAACTAAACTCACGGCGTTGGTCTCGAAGGATCTCGAGGAAAGGAGTTTCCTACTTTTCGTTAGCACTTTGCTCTTGTCTGAATTTTTGAAGAAAACCGCGATCGAGGCGCAGGCAACGTCGTAGGGGGGAGAAAATGACGCGTTCGTCGTTGGAAATAAAATTCGTCGGGACCAGAGGTCCCTAACTACTCGGAGCTAGCATTGGTTGGACCTCGAGTGATCTTCGAGGGCGCGTGTCTCTTCGCTAAACGGAAAAAACGGAGCTGACACTCTCCGCGACCACGCTAGTACCTTCTCATCTCTATGAAAAAACATGGAATGATAATAGTAATTTTACGTGTTTCCTTTTTTTTTTTTCTTACTTCCTTTCGTTCTTGCCTTGTTATCGGTTTATATCTTAGTAATATTACGATTATATCACAAGAAAGATTCAAATACTCTGTACATAATATCCCGGAACGCGAGACGTTCGATCAGGTTTCTTAATCTTACATTTACATACGCCTAAGATTTAATTACAAAGTTAGATATGTCTCAGGTTCACCTGGTATTGTACTTCAACGCAATTTCTCGTGCTTCCACTCTGCGTTTGCTCGCCCGATCTCTTCCCCTCTTTGCTCCACACGATCGAACATCCTCGACGCGATCGCAACGAACGGTCGAGAACGTTCCTCTCGCACGATCCTCTCGCTCGAGTCGCCGGAAGTTCGAGACGAGACGAAACGAAACGAGAGTACGGAACGCGCGCGCTTCTTAAAAACTCTTCACGGAGACCTTCCGTTGCTCGTTCGATCTCTGTACCTTCGGCTACTCGCTTCTAGTCGCTGGTTCTTACGTTTCTAAACTCGATATCGTTAATTGGCACATCTCAAATGGCAACTTTCGCATTGGCACGATGAAAATGATCCTCGGGAATGATCCTTAGGCTTTTGTTCCGTTTTCTTCGCTCTCTCTCTCTCTCTCTCTCTCTCTCTCTTCCCGCCTTTTTCTCGATTCGTCGACCGCGACAATCGCACGCGCGTAAACCTTGTCCCGCTGTTGAAGTTTCGCAAACGAAATTCGTAGAGAAGTTGCTACTAGGAGCAAAATACATTAGTCGAATTGCCGATGGTTTACTCGTTGCTAGGAATCGCTAAGTAACTCGCTTTCGATGGTTCAACGTTCGAGGTGAACGGTGTTGACGTCGATGATCCTCGCGACGTGTTAACGCGGCGATCAGCGTGATACTGGTAGCACTGTTCTCTTTAGATACGCTCAAGTTAGAAACAAACAGCCGATTGATACGCGTCTAACGGCCCTTTCCAATGCGCGTTACTCGTTTATTCGACCTACGCGTCGTACCGTGCGAACAATACACTGAATTTATGCTACGAATCTATGAAGGTTACGTTATAACGCGGCAAGTACGCGAAGTGGATCGATCGAGCGCAATGACGAAGCATCGAAACATCGTCTGAGAATTGCAACGTTAAGTAGCGATCATCGCGTTAAGAGATCATAAATGGTTGACGAGTGAAATCATGTAAGCTGGTCGAATCGCTAAATGGAAATATACGCGGAGAGCGAAATTCGCAGGGGATTACCCTCAACTAGCTATTCGAGAAGAAAATCTTTTATTACGTGGATGAATCGGGATGAACTCGATTTAGGCTCGAGCGTGGAATAAAGTATCTCTTAATACGCGTATAGAAAACTATGTCGTATCGTAAACTCCTAATTGACTACCACGAAATCGTTCGAAAACTCAGTGTGATCGTGCTGAAACCGAATAACGATTGGCGATCACCGTGACGAACAGGCAATCGCGGGAATGATCGTTCAGTCCCTTCGTGTCCGTATTTTGATTTAAATAAAACCTTGGTCGGCTACTAACGCAATAGATAACGACTCTAAATTAATACTTTTTTAGCCTCGGACGGCTGTTGCACGTTCTCACCGCGTGAATTCTCACCTATTTCCTCGTTCGTTCGTCGTGACACCTTTGTCTAGCCTCGCACGAGATAATCGAGATCGAATGCTCGCGCATTCTCATGGAATATTGTCGCAGAGATTCTAACGAGAGGACGAGAGATAAAAGGTAGACGATACCGTATCGACAGAATTTAACGACCGAGTCCACAATTTGAAATTTCGTCCGAGTCAAACGTACATACATATCCTACGAATCGATATCTTCCGAAGATAAAGAGGAACGCGAGCGATTGCAAGGAATTGCGTAAAATCGTACGAACCGCCACGTGCATGCGCGTTCGGTATAAAGTAATCTGTAGCTTTAAAAGCTGCGACGACCGTGAATATTCGATGGTCGTTGCATACGGAATGTACACGCGCGAATAGAGTCGGGTTGCTTCGCGCGATGGACTCGGTCATTCGATACGATGGTGGTCCGTAAAACGTTCGCAAGCGGATTTACAGTCGCAGACGCTAAATTATAAGTTGCACGCGGTATAGAGAGCAATATATCACTATGCTGACAATATTAATGCTTACGTAACGGCGTCATAATCGATACTGCGCTATGTTGGACGCTCGGTAAATGAGCAAGGAATAACGATGCTTGAGCAATATAAATAGTCGACTCAAAAATCACGTGGAAAGAAATGAAAGATTGCTGTGAACTGCTCTCTTCTTTCTTGTCGTACCTCTCTGTGTGTGCTCTCGATTATCGATCGATTCGCGAGTTGTAACAACAGACCCAACCGAGGCATTCAAGTCCAGTTCCATTCTTTTCTCTTTCCTCTCTCTCTCTCTCTCTTTCTCTCTTCTATTTTTTCTCCTTTTTAAAACAGACTTTTAACTCGAGAACTGGAGACGAATCTCTGTCCGTTGTTCGAATCTGAGTTTCGTATATCGCATTTCCAATAATTGCAAAGAATTCTTTCAATCGTCGCATCGCATAGTGGTCTACCAGTAAACCGCGAAATTCGTAAGAATGGTCGCATGTTAAGAATCATTAAATCGTAACGATTGCACAAACGTTTCGACTATCACTAAAGATCTATCACAAGTAATCGCAACGCGCGTAAATCTCCTCGAATCGTTTCGCGGGACGATCTCACGCGAGAGAGAACCCAGGAAGAAAAGTAAAACGGGGAAGACGCGAACGGATTCGACTCTATCCGGGTCTGTACCACGACGATCGCGGAGATTCAGGCTACGAAGATACGATCCCGTCGAATCGATCGATACGTTCCCTCTTCTTCCCAATCGGCACAGACGCGTCTCAAAACTGAACAGGCAGTGAAGGAACAAACGGTTATTCCTGTTAATTTTGCTCGAGCACAATCTCGTTGTGAATGCGCGTAATCGCGGACCGATCCGCGAGTCGTGGAACCTCGAGGTTCCTCCGAAGCGATGCACGAGTACTGACCCGTGCACACTCTTCGCCGAACCAAGAGGAAACCAAGTGTAGCGTGTGTCTATCCCATTTTCGGTCGATTCTTCGACTCGACCCGTCTCTGTTCGATGACTTCTCGTTCGACTTCATCGATTAACAGCGATTGCACATTTCTCGTGACATCTCGTCATTCGTTTACCTAGAACACTTTCGACCAGCCAACCTCAGCGAACACGAATATCCGCACGTTGTTGTCGCGCTCGTTTCCTCTTCAGCAGTCCTCTTCTTCCTCGTCTCTTCCTCCACCTCCTCTCTGTTTTTCGCGTTTTCTTTTTGATTATAACAATGGAGCTCGCGGCTGCGCGGACATACGTGTCGTTTCAGTGGTCCACCAGAAGCTGTTCGCGATTAGCAAAGCTCGCGAAAGCTCAGTTGTACGGCCAGGAGTGCCTGATTGAAGTGACCACGTTCGAGGTAGGCGGGTCCTCTGGGCGTCACTTCTTCATGTCGTTCATCAACGTGCCGTCCTTGCTCTTATTCGTGTCGAGGCTCGACTGCTGACTACTTGTCACGCCGCTCCCGTTGCCTGGGTACATCTTCTCAAGGTGATTCAGGGACTCGCTTAGGAACTTCTGCAATTAATAGATCGGATTAGGCAAATGGAGGAGTAGACTCGATAGGTGGATCGATGGTTTTCATTAGGGATCACGTGGTAGCTTTTATAAGAGGTTTGACAGGACTCTATAGTGGCTGGTTCGTGAACGGGACTAGTCCCGATACGCTGTACCTGTATTGCCGTAAGAGCGGCTACAATTGCAGGACTTCCGAATCCGTGTGATATGAGAGAGAAGTGTGTTAGGTGTCTCTGTATGCTTGGATCGAGGATGTGTTGTGGCCGTGTGTTGCAAAGCGGCGATCTGTCTTGATTCAAAAGATCCATCAGCTCTTTGGTGATTTGTCTGAAACAGTAAGATCGAGATGTTTCAACGGGCCTAGACACCGTGGATCCCGCGAGAACCGATCCAAGTCCCGATTATCTCGATACCTCTCTGACCATCGCGAGTACCCCGAGGAGATAAATTCTTACTTGGTGGCATGAAGAAGTTCTTTCCTCCTGTAGGAATCTTGCGGTTCACAATGCTGCCGACTGAGGTATTCGGCAACTTGTTTCGCAGGGAATTCGGTTTCGCAGACATAGCCGAAGTCTCTGGCAAGGTGAATGGCTTCTCCTGGGGGAAAAAAAGAGGAAAGAAAAGAAATAAAACGCCTGGCTGTAGGAACGTCGATTACGCAACAACCCATCGTATGGAAATGCGTGAACTTTTGCTCGGTCATTTACGACTTAACGGGACAGGGATAAGATCTTCCTTATCGGAATCTACAAATTTCATTATCATCATCCTCGATTAAATTCGCTTCCCGATTCTAACGTTGCGTTTATCTCCAACACTCCAAATTCCTCGAAGAATAATACGCGAAACGCACCGGTCATTCCATCCACCTATCGATGACTCTCGTTCCTGTTACTTTTAACGACCAAGATCCGACAAGTGCGCCACGCTTGTCGGTAAATAAACTGCACGTTGAACGCTAGAAACTGGAGATTCCTGGCTTCGAAGGAACGGTCCCTAGACGGGAGCCATTTCGCGCGTGCCAGTCGCGAGATTGCCCTCTACCGGAGGAACGAACTAATTTACGATAATGAAACAGCATACGTGCTTTCTCTCCAGCACGTGGTCCGTTTCTCCCCTTTCGGAACAATTCCCTTCGTCCGTCACCATTTCTCTCTCGCCGACACTGTCTCCCCTTTCTACGGCCCGCCACCTTTCTCTCTTGCCCCCGATGATGGCGGGTAATTAGGCACCTACAAGCAAGCTCTCGTGCAAGATGGAAGCGGGCCCGCTGGGCGCTATTATCGACAAGCAAAACCACCCGCAGGTCTGCCGGGTTTCGCCTACGAGATCGAGAAGACAGGGCCGCGGGGCCACCTGCAGCTAACGAATTATCCAATTTCGCGCACTCGCTCTACCGTTTCTTCCTTCTCACGCGGGTGAAAAGCATGCAAAACGTCGCTCATAATTGCCCGTTCGTGTATACGCGTTCTCTACCGTGCTCGCAGCGTCCAGCGAAAGCTTCGTGGACGCTTTTGTATCACAATTTCTTCGACTTTGTCGAGATATAGAAGCTCGCATCGAGGATAGCTTCGAGGCAAAAGATCCGCGTGTATTTCTTTTCTTAACGCATTGCGTACAGCATAGAAATCTCTAAGCATGCGCCAGGGACTATGCGTTTTGACAAGATAGTGCGTTGGTATCTAAGGTCCATTACAGATGGCGCGCGAAACACGAGAAAACTCGCGAACGGTCCTTACAGATGGCGCGCGAAACGCGAGACAACTCTTGAATAGCACGCGACGTGCTAAAATCGTCTGAAATAGAAAAATCGAAATTCTATTCGATAGATGTTTCCTCAGAGAAATTCTCTATCAACGACGTTTGTCTCGTATCGAAAGTTCATGCCCGATTACTCGAATAAATATAGAGATAACACGGAGATAAAATTTTATCAGCGATACGAACGGTTTAAACGGTCTCACAATCAGTTAAACGCGGAACTTGGAGATGAATTTTTATCAGGAACTCGGAGATAGCGAGGAAAGTCCCATTAAGCAGTTTCATCCGTTGCGTGGCTACTTTGCGGTCCGCGCGGCCATCGCGCGCGTTCCGCGATTCAACTTGGATCTTCTACGCACGCGCAGTCGTGTGCGCGGTCTGCCACGTAAATCGCGTACGCGAGGCGTTATTATTTAGAGGTTACGTTATCCGCCACGCGTTTCGCGAATGTTGCAATAAATATCTGCGATTCGACGGCTGCTGGAAACGCGGCGCGGGCATCCGCGGAACAAACGGATCGAAAATCTTACAAAGTCGTTTCGCAACCGATAGCCATTTACATAATGCCTCGTAATACTCTCGGCCTTATAATTTCATTCGCGATGAAACGTCATCCTCGAAATTATATCCCACTTATCGCTCGCGGATTCGCTATCCACCGGGACTTTTGCCTCGACTTTTTCGCGAGTTACGATTAAAACCGTGGCGGGCGATAACAGTAAATTACGCGGGACGTTACATCCACGCGACTTTCTAACTCGCGAAAATATAAAATCGCGAAGAATTTCTTCGTAAACTTGGCCAGGCCAGCTTTATGGCCCCGTTCCGTTTGTACACGCGGTTTTAGCGGAACGTTAGAAACGCGCTTCGAGAATTAATTTACCGGTCGTTTGGAATCGAAGAAACGCGTGCGTCGTACAGGACGCAACGAATGCCAGACTCGTTGTTATTCCACGTATAGATTTTGCCCCGAGTCTGCCCGAGGTTTATCTCTCCGCGCGGGATACCTAATAAAAGCGATGAAATATCCCTCGCGTCCTCGATACGGCCACCGTCGCGTACTTTACAACTATGTAAACGCGTGTAAACTCGGAAGGATCGGTCTCGAGCGGGATCTGAATTAAGCGAGTGTCACCAGCGCCGACTATCGACGATCTAATCGCGAACGCAGGTCGCGCGAGTTTCTGTCGCGATGCACGTACAAAGTGCAACAGGTCGTTTTCAGCCAGCTTTTAGTACCGCGCGCGGCGGCCGCTGATTTGCATACGAGCTCGTGGCATCGCGCGTGTTTCGTAACTTCTTTTAATTTCCTCCTAACCGTAATTGCTATTTCTGTCACGTTTCCCAGCGGAGATGCACGCGTTTACCTATGCACCCGCGTGTACGCGCGCGGGATTAGTCCGCGGGGATACGTCGTTGCGAGACGTTCGGATCGTTGCTTTTTATGGATCGCGCTAATAGAGTTCTTACGAAAACTCGCCGCAACTTGTCCCTTGATTTATCGCCTATTTTATTTCGCGTCGCCGGAGTCATCGAAACGGGGTATATCGCGTACGTAAACTACTTGCCCCGCGTTGTTAATTAAACTCCGCGTGTTTGCTCCGTCGGTGTCTCCAATCCGTCTAATTTTTCCGATTGAACTTTAATTAAACTCGGATTAAATCGAATCGCCGTCGTGTTTTATATACGGGTATCGTTGTGACATGGGGATCGAATATTTGACGTTCGTCGTAATAGACATTTTCTCCTTCTTTCTTCTCTTTCTTTCTTCCAATTTTACGACGGCCCTGGTGATGTTCGATTCGATAGAGTTTATATTTCGCACGTTATACCTAGTATCATCGATCGCGAAAAATCGCGGGACTTTTTGGAAAGAAATTTCGCGAGGACGAAGTACGTGGTGAATTATGGAAGCATCGAAGTGACCGATGAGAGAAAAGGAAAGCGATCGAGGGAAAGATGGATGGCCACCGCAGACGGTCCCCGAGGAATCGGATCGGCCGCGAAATCGCGGTGACCGTGGCGGTCGTCTGGCAAGAAGGCAGCCGATCGCGCGGATAATCTATGATAAAGACGTGCAGCGAGACAACTCAATGCGACGAACGGAACGCGCGATGCAGATGAGGACCACAGATTGGTCGAAGGTGATTGCAGATGCGAGCTGCAGATTGGTACACGCGGCCGTACGAGAGAACGAATCAGCAACGTGACTCGCGAATTAACGATCGGCCTTTTTACTTGATGACTTTACTATGCTCGTCGCTCGGCGTTCGATCGAAAAACCGACGTGATCGTTACGAAGCGGTCGCGGGACTCGATTAAAAGTCTTACTCGCCGCGTTGTTCTCGTTGTCCGCTTTCAGCCGGGTAATTGCCGTAGTAAATTGGCCGCGAGTAATCGAATAACGCTATTCGGCGCGTAATACACCGAGGAAAATTTCAATCTCGCTTTTTTCCCCGCAGATTTCCAATTCGATAACGAACGGCGCCGAAGTACTCGCGAATCGCTATCGCGCCGGGATATTTACGAGACCCGGCTACTCGAAAGGGAGAAGAGACATCCCGAGAGCTGTTATTCTAATTAGAGCGTTGCTTTCTCGTTTTTATCCGGGCGTGTTGCCTCTTCGTTGGCCCCGTGTAATTACGCGTTCCGATCGGTATCACGGTCGGTATTTTTTCGGTACACGCTCGCTCCGCGTGTTCGCGATGACGGTGTCGAAGAACGGTAAACGGTGTCGATAGTACCATTCCACGGGCGTTCGTATAATCGATAGGTCTACCCTGGATGATCGATCTTTCAGACCGACCGCAAATTACGCTCCACTGTAATGTGTCTCGATAATCGAAACCTCGGCAAGGATTTCGGCCGGATTCTCTTCCGCGTACCTCCAGACAACGGTGTCGAGATAGCTGCGAGTATGCTTGCGGTTTCGCCGCTGTGTCGAAACCCTCTCGATTGCGATCGATACACGGAAAGTACGTAGACGGTACACCAGAGGTATCGCTCTGTATATACCAGCTGTTCCGATTTCATATTTATACCCTTCCTTATGTACCATCTCGTATACGATATTTGCGTTTATCCTACAGATGCCATTCTTTCCGCGTTGTATCTTTATCCCGGATTCTCAACGATTCGCTAAAATTCTACAATATTCGTGAAATTTCAAATAGAATATCGGTCAATTAATCGGATAAAAATTTATCTCCGCGAAATTCGATTTTTCGTAAAATTATTAATATTTTCGTAGGATACTATTTCGGGAAAGAAATCGCGAATCGGCCAATGCCTATGAAAGGCTATTTTCGTTAGCAAATTTAAGTTGCGTGGTCTCTACGGGGAGGTGAAACGTGGGTCAACGAAATCGTGAATCAGAAAAACGACGTGATTTTTATGGGAGCAAATCGTTAATGGGCTGAATCATAACAGCCAATTAGCAATTAGAGATAGCACGCTATCGAGCTTTGCGGAAAGCATAAAGACAGGACCCTGGATGACACAGGCAGAGTCCTAAGTCAAGAAGCATTGAAGAGTTCTCGTAGAAATCGATTGTAACCGGTACGGGCATGAGTTGTTCGGTGTTAGAGTCGAATTAGAGCGTGTTTCCGTGTGTTATAGTTACGTTATTTTACTGTTCTCTTCTTGCGTTAAATTAGTTTTCCAAATATAATTATAATTTTGAAGGATATAATTTCTCGAAGGATATAACGCGATACTGGATTATTTTTGTTCGTATTTAAGGAAAAGATGAAATTGACAGAGTTTAGGGTAAAATCGGAGATGAGCCAGCTGGAGCGAACGGCAGAACGCTCTTTCCTCGTGCGTATAACCGAGGTTGCGTCACCACGAGGCAACCAGACACGAATTTACGCATGAATCACGCACAGGTATACGTTAATCGTACGCGACCAAAGTATACCTATACACCTGGTGCGTTTACGTCCTCCGCTCGAGAGGAGGTTCCCACACTTTCGCTGCACTCCACCGGCTCTTTCAATGGCTATCACATGCATGTAAGTACTTGCTAGACGCACGTGGATATTTCGAAATATTATATCCCTCGACGAATTTGACTTTCGTCTCGGTCCAGAATTTCGCGAAATTCCATATACTTATCGATCCTCCTTGCACTTTTCACATTCCCGAATTGAAAATTGCCGCGGCAACAATCCTGTCTTTCTCTTTTATTTCCCATTTCGTTTCCTCTGTTCGCCAGCTATATTCCAATTCGCGGAAAGCCTTTCTGCCACGCACGAGATTCCTCGATCGGGCGCAACGTTCCAGTGCGATTCGTAAATTAGAAAGTACGCGGATAAACCGCGCGGGAGATTTATATCCGAAGAAACGCGAAGGTAATCCCGCGAACTGATAAGTCTCAGTTTCTTTACGCGTTATATCACAAAGAGAGAGGCAGCGCGAGATATGGAATAAACAAACACGAAAACGCTACGAATCGATGCACCCGGCTTTCTATCCCCGACGATTCATGGACCGTGAAAGAATCGAAAAGCGAATTCCAATTAACAGCCTGTGCGCTCCTTGCGCGTTTAGCGCGTTGCGCAACGCGTAATTAGATTTTATTCCACGATACCGGCGTCGCTGCTATACGTTTATTCCAGTTATTCAAATAAGCATCGATAATGGCGAATATGATAGAGCGTGCGTATCCGTTATGCTCGCTACCTCTTCGTAAATTACACGCGACTGTCCCGCGAGCACGAGGGGGGCAGCGAGACGCAAAAGAATGGCGGAAAGGCGGGAAGAAAGAGGGCACGCGGAGCCGGGGCATACAACACGCGGTTCATTCGAACGGTGTATCCAACGAGATTAACTTCCGTCTTCGAAATGCCATCGAGAAACGAAGATTCTAAATGCTCCTCGACGAAACGAGTTTGAAAACCTGTATGTTGCCAGACAGTTAATTAGATCGCTGAACGGGATAGCCCGGGAGTACGGCCACTTCGTAGAATTGATTCTACGCTTTATGCGTTATTAAGAAGATACATATACTCTTACCTCGCTTTGCGCAACGAGGCCACGTCGCGACAGTGTGTTAAAACGAAGCAGAAATTTATTGTTCGGTTCTGAAGCTCGTTCGACTTGCCTCACGGGATAAGTGGCTTAGGGGGCATTCCATTACCCTCGCGATGCGCGATAATTATATTCGACACTGCGAATAATTCGCGAAAAATTGCGCGATGAACCTACCGCGATTCGATTTCTATCGCTCGAGAATTATCGAGAATCGGTTAACCCTTTGACTGCCACGAAATCACGTTTCGCTCAGAACGCCATGGGAGTATTCCTGTTATTCGAAGCGTATAAGCGTTCCTGTCACAGAAGAAACCGTGGTCATATGTGACCAACGTGACAGTCAAAGTGTTAAACGAATTTTGCAAATGGCGACGGTCCAAAACGACCATCGGAAAGATCGTACATCCGATCGAATTTGACGAAGACGAAGCGAGAGTGTGTCACTATGCGTGAGTCTGTCAATCGAAGATGGCAGGTGAAAATTATCTACTAGTAAAATACCATTTTGTCGGTGTACTTGCGTAAAACTGCGACCGTGTACTGGTACATATACGGTACATATACAGTGAAAGCGTTAAGCCTCGCCGAGGGGTACGGAAGTTGGAATTCCTGCGGAAATTCGGGACCCTATATCTAATCGTTGTCAAGTTTGAGGATTCCTCAGTTTTTCCTTTCCCGTTTTAAATCGAAATATCCCAAGGCGAGGATTACCGGGATTACGAGGCATTACGCGAATCTGGACAAACCGACTGCCAGGATACGCTTTGACTACACACGCGTGCCGCGGCCATCCTTGGCGATGTCAGTGGCGAGGAAAGAAAAGCCTGGCCGATGTTTTACACAAGCCCATCGACCATAAATTATAATCAACGTCCGCACCAACACTCGAACAATCGGCCAGTTGAGTCATTAGAGCTTCGCCGGGGTAGGTCGACCTTTATACGTGGAATCTCGTTGCGCGAACGCGTGTTATTAAGAGCGTGGTTAACCGTGGATATCCCGTAGGAATGAGCCTGATTAACCTGGCCCAGCCATGTGTATACCGTTCCTTCGCGGACATGCTTCGGCTGTCATTAAAAAGTATTTAATGTCGCTGGGTTCACGCGAGCGATTTTATCGGATAATTTCGTGGCAGCTATGTGGTTCGAAAGTAGCGCGATTCGTCGCTCACTAGTTCATTTCTAGGCCCCCCTTCCTTCATACGAGAGATTAAGGATTTTTTACGCTTTTAGATTTGTCGCAAATTAGGGGCGAATTTAAAATTGAAGGATGATCGGATATTATGTACGTAATAGGTATGCACTTTGCATTCCACTTTTGCGATTTTAATTCTATTTGTTCCTCATCAACGGTGCTTTCCAATCGATTTAACGACACGTAACACTGGCACATTAACGTAATAACATGTACCGCGGTTTAACCGTGATATTATTTACGTAAATGCAAATATTTCCACGCCTTGGATCCATTAACGCGCTGCATAAATTAAAATAATTACATCTTTAGATCTACCCATCTGCATCCTTAACCTTCTGGCATACTAATTCGTATCGAATTCTCGGAAAAGTATACGACAAGTCTCTCGCGTCGATCTAGAGATAACGCATGTTACACTCGATCTCAAAAATTCCTATTTCGTCCTAATCGCGATGGCGCAACGATCGGAAATAAGCCCGCGAAATTAGGAATTTGCAAATTTATCGCGGATAAAGGTGCTTCCGAAGCAATTCGCGAAGCCGAGCTTATCGCATAATCTTTTAAGAAGTGTTTCGACTCACCTTCCACTAAGGATGTTAAGAGCGTGACATTGGCGGCCTTCCTTCTTCCCGCTGGCAAATTTAGTCCAATCTTTTCCAACTTTTCCCTAAGCAGACGTCCGCCGTTTTTGGACTTTGCTCTACAAAATGCAATGAAAAGGGCAACACGATAAATTCCACTTTTTTACGTATACCTGAAATAAAATACCAATATAACGATTGCGGGGAAAAAATTACGCGAGGTTTCGTATCTCGTGCGCAAGGATAATACGGTAAAAAGTTCCATTAGCCATTTTACCAAGTACGTTACGCGTAATAAAAATAAATCGACGAGCGAGAAATTTTTATTTCAATATTCCGTTGCATCCGCGCGCCTTGAAACCAACTTATATTTTTTC